GCCGCTATGCTTGCATAGGCGAGAATGCCCTGGCCAGGCAGGGCACTTTGCCTCTGGCTGCTTGGGTCTGGCATGCGTGTGCCCAGTAGCTTCACGTTGGGCCAAAGAGACTGAACACAGGCCCATTCAGACAGTTGCCTGGGCCCGCGGCACTAAGGCTGCCCAACTGTACGACGATTGGTCGAGAGAGGCCCAGCCACGTCGCTCCCTACGCTCTCATTGGTGGAGAGCCTCTGGTCTCCTTGCTGCTGGAGTGAGACCACAGGCTGTGTGTGTTGTGCTCACTCAGGCAGCCTCCTGTAACCAACTGGGGCGTGGTAACTCTCTGGCGCCCACTTATGCAGAAATGACAAAAATTGGGCCCCCTTGTCGAATTCAGGCCCGCGTTCACTTGGGGCGGGCACATTGCTTGCTAGGGGCACCGTGGGCTTGCGCAGGCTGCGAGCGTGCGGCCTAGGTGAGGGTTTGTTCCTGCAAACAAACAAATAAAAAAAGTAATTAAAAAAAAGTGCGTCGAACCCGCGGTGTGTGTGTGTGTGTGTGTGTGTGTGTGTGTGTGTGTGTGTGTGTGTGTGCAGGGGGAGGGTGCCAACCTCCCCTGCAACCAATCAATCAACTGCTTTGATTGATTGATTGATTGATTGATTGATTGATCGACTGATTCATAACGTTCACCCCCAAAAAAAAAAAAAAAAAAACAAGAAAAACAATCGAAAAAAGAAATGAGGGGGACGGGGAGTGTTCTAAGTTTATTGGACCCCTCCAACTGTGATGATATTATATTTTTTAACTTAATGAAATGAAATGACCTGAAAATTGGGGAATAGGACCGTTAGCAGATGAACTATCAGCAAAAAAAAAAAACGTTCAGGCCTCCAAAAGAGGTTCGGCAGGGCCCGAAGCCCCGTTCTGATGGGACCTGAACGCCCGACCGTTCAGAGGTCGGCCCGAGGGCCTCCGAGCGTTTGGCCCGGTAACCCTGATTGGACTTGCTGTTGAAAGGATTTCACGTTGCAGACACCTGAGTCCCGGCTCTGAGGTCTCACATTGTCCCAGTCCCAGTCAGGCCCAGTCCCAGATGGTCCCGATCACACCTGTTCCAGTAGCTACATTCCAGGTAGGGTCTATAGGGTCTCAGGGTCCATATGAAGTCTAAGCGTCGTAGGCCATGCGCCAGTACTGAATCAGACCGGTAAAAGTCGAACTGGTACCCGACAAGAAAAGTCTGGGCCCAAGTCCAATTTTGCAGCAGCGTCCCAAGAAAGTCCACAAGGTACCGGACACCAACAATTCATGCACCACCCAGACCACGGGCAACCGGTACCAGTTAGAAGTAGACCAGGGCCACGTCAAGCAACTATTAATAGCTGGTACAGTGCAGCTTGCACATCTTTTGTCCTGCGTGAGATGCAGAAGCGCTGCTAGTCGCTTGTGCGACCTCACAGTTGGACTGTGCGCTAGGGAGCCT